TTCCGGGTTTTTTGCAAATCTATTTCAATTCTTAAACAAATTTCTTTTAAAATTCTATTTGAATAAACAACTAAACATCTTAAATTAGGAAATATCTTATATAATCCAACGTTCATTTTTAAAAATTCAAAATTAATCGATTTTCTACAACAAATTACAGAAAAAACAATTTGGCCACTCACCCACAAATCTTCAAACCATATGGCAACTTTATAATTTTGTGTGTTTTGTATTTTCTTCTTTTGGGTTTTGTTGTTGCAAATTGGGCGCAAATTTACAGTAGGATTTTTTCCACACATACACAACCAACCAAACACTTTCATACATTTTATCATTTTCTATTTTTTCTTATTTTTGATACATCTCTCATTAAATATTGCATTAATTTAATAAGAAATTAAATTTTGATTTTACTTTTTATAACTTTAACTTGATAATTTGCTAAAATATAACACTTTGCAACAATTAAATGCCGGCTATACTTATATGAACTTGTTGCTCGATTTTTTGTTATTTCTCACTTATTTAACAATTTCCCGATAAATATATTTATTAATTGAATGATAAATATTATTTATTTCATATTTTTTACAATTTTAACTAAATGTTTTATTAATTTAATTCACTTTTACGAACACACTTGTAACAACTACCTGTTGACCGATTGAAATCACGAAGAAAACTAATTAGAATTTAAGGAAAGAGGTTGCCACACTAATGTTATTAGAACGTGGTTTTGTATTTATGGGATATTAAAAAGAATATATCTTGAGAATTCAGATATTCTAGAAGGATTTTAATATATTTTTAATAAGAATGATTTTAATCTTAAATTTTTCGAACAAATATATAAAAAAATTGGAGTTTTTAATAATATCTATAAAATTAGCACGATTTTTGACCTGGTTGATTTACTACATTTCCTTATAAAAAATGTGCTTCATTAAGAAGTTTTTAAATTTTAGAAATAATTTTCATATTTGGACTCCGAGAACAATAAATTAATACTTATTTTCTCTTCCTACTGCTAGGCGTTTACCTTGCATGCATTTATTCCATACCGATTGCGTGGACCAATGGCTGGTAACCAACAAACACTGTCCCATTTGTCGTGTCGACATTGAGACCCATTTAAATAAAGACGCTATTATAGCAACGTCTAGTGGTAATGCGGAAAATGGCTCAAATAGTGGTTGGTGGCAACCAGCGGCTGATTGTTAAACAGGGTTTGTTGTGTACGTTAAATAAAAAATAATAATTATTGAAAAAAATATAAAATATTAGTGTTCCTTAACAAGAAAAAAAAATTATATTTCTATTTAACAGAAAGTAAATCAAGTTAATAATGCATAATTAATATACATACATATATATCATAAGTGTTTATACATATATTTATATAAAAAAATTAAGAAAACAAAAAAATCGTTCATATATAACAAACTTTATTTTTTGCTAATATTTGAAATTTATAAAATTTGTTTTTATAATACAAATCTTTAAAAGCCTGTGACAGAAACTCAAGAAAAACATTTTATATGAAAAATGCCAAAAAAAAATATTTCAAAACTTGAAAATTTCCAACTAAAACGATACTGAATCGGAAACAAGTATGAAGCCTTTGTTTTAAAATTTATAAATTTATTTAAATTAAAATTTTTTTTAATTTTTAATTTTATTTTATTATTTTTCATATAAAATGTTTCAAGTCTAAAACACTGAATCACAGGATTCTTATCCAAACTTGTTTCTGAATCAGGCTTTTAATTTTCTTTTTTGTTTGTTTAAAGAAATTTCTTTTATTTTTTATAAAATCTTATGTTTAAACAACAAATGTTGGATTATCTTTGCTTTCAATTATTTTTATTTTTGTATTGTTTTTTATTATTAAAATTTTGTTTGTTATTATTTTTTATTATTATTTTGAATTATATTTATTTTTTTGTAATTGTTTTTCTTTAATTTTTGGGTGTTTTTTTAATTATACAAACTTTCTTGTTTATATTTATCATTAAGCTGTGCCATATGTATATTATTAAATTAGTTTTTTTAGTCTCTCTTTCTTTATATATTTTATTAAACATTATATTTATTTAAAAAAGTCATACCATTAATAAAAACAAATGAATTTTGTAAAATTGTTTTCAAATAAATGGATGAAAAATAAAATTTTTTTCGAAAACTTTTTCAAATCTTTTTATAATGTTAATATTTTTGGTAAGACTAAATCTTTAGATATTTAAAAATAAGTTTATTATTAAAAAATTATTTAAATAAAGTTCTTCCAAATATATAATTATTAATAATTTACTTATATTTATTACAAAAAATATTTTCCACAATATATTTTTCTAGTTTTAAGTTTTGGAAAATGCGTTTTCTTATTAACAATAAAAAATTTATTTTATTATCTTTTGTTTTAATATATATCCAAATAAGTTTATTTAAAAATAATATAAACTTATAAACTATTAAATGATAAGGGTTAATAAGATAACTCTTTAACAACATTAATGTTTATATGAATGGTTTATTTATATTATTAAAAGTAAAAGCTAATAATATATCATATTAATAAAAATTATTAACTTAATATTTAATAATAAAAAACATAATAAAATCAATTATTAGTTTTGTTTTAGTACTTAACAGATTTACTGGCTTTAAACAAAATGTTTCCCTATCAAAAATTTCTATATAATTTTAACTTAAAGCCAGCGTATTTCATTAGTACTAGAACTTATTAATTAAAAACATTAAAAAAATAATTTTAATAGTTGTTTTCATCTTTTCTTTGCAGTTACCTTTTTTGGCACACATTTAACAAAATATCAATAAATTTTTCTTCTCAATAAAGTATTAAATAAGAAATTTTATAATAGCCAATGGAAAAGTTTTAAATTAACATATCTCTAAAACAACTAGTTCTATAATAAAGGCACTCCAGTCACGTTATCTGGGTCATAGTTGTGTTTCTAGTACCCGTACTTTGGCATCGCAAAAATGTGAAATCAAGCTCAAATCAGTGGTAAGTTTAAAATTTGTTCTAAAATAGCTAGATTTATATCAGATCATTTAATAGAAAATTCGGAACTTGTTACATAGTTATGAATTCATAAATTAAAGACACCATTCTGGTATCTTCCTGGTCGAGGCTACAAGACTTTCATCATTCATTCAACAAAATAATTCTTACTATTATGTTACTACTGATTCAGTTATTTTTATGGGATTTTTAAAATAAAAATCTTTTATATTTAAAATACATAATTAATTAAAATCCCTCTTAATATCTAATCCCTCAGAATTTTATTTCATATCATTAATTTATTACAATTTCCCCTCAATATAACACAACTTTCTAAATATATTGGTGTGGCAACCTTTTTCTTTAAATTCTAATTAGTTTCCGTCATGATTTCAATTGAACAACATGTAGTTGTTACAAGTGTTAATAAAAGTGCAGTAAACTTATAAAATATCTTGTTAAATATTATAAAAATGTGAAATAAATATTAGTAAATATTCAATTAATGTGAAAATCTCTTGGAAGCAGTAAAATAATTGAAAAATAAGAAAAAATCTAGCAACAAGTTCATATTAGTATGGCCGGTATTTAATTGTTGCAAAGTGTTATATTTTATCAAAATATCACGTCCAAGTTATGAAAAATATAATCAAAATTAAATTTCCTATTCAATTATTGCAATATTTTATGAAAAGTGTATTAAAAATAGATGATATGCAGTGAAAAATTAAAATGTGTGAAAGAGTGTAGTTGTATGTGTGTCAAAAAAATCCTACTGTAAATTTGCGCCAAAATTCCAACAACAAGAAAGGAAGAAAAAGCTAAGTAAACAAAATAATAAAGCTGCCATATGTTGTCAAGTTTTGCAGGTGAGTTGCCAACTTATATTATCCGTAGTTTGTTGTAGAAAAGCGGTTAATTTTGAATTTTTTAAGATGTGAATTGGATTATTTGAGATATTTTATAATGTCAGAGAACTTGAACTAAACTAGAACTGAACTAAAACTGAACTAGAACTGAACTAGAACTGAACTAGAACTGAACTAGAACTGAACTAGAACTGAACTAGAACTGAACTAGAACTGAACTAGAACTGAACTAGAACTGAACTAGAACTGAACTAGAACTGAACTAGAACTGAACTAGAACTGAACTAGAACTGAACTAGAACTGAACTAGAACTGAACTAGAACTGAACTAGAACTGAACTGAACTAGAACTGAACTAGAACTGAACTAGAACTGAACTAGAACTGAACTAGAACTGAACTAGAACTGAACTAGAACTGAACTAGAACTGAACTAGAACTGAACTAGAACTGAACTAGAACTGAACAGAACTGAACTAAACTGAACTAGAACTGAACTAGAACTGAACTAGAACTGAACTAGAACTGAACTAGAACTGAACTAGAACTGAACTAGAACTGAACTAGAACTGAACTAGAACTGAACTAGAACTGAACTAGAACGGAACTAGAACTGAACTAGAACTGAACTAGAACTGAACTAGAACTAGAACTGAACTAGAACTGAACTAGAACTGAACTAGAACTGAACTAGAACTGAACTAGAACTGAACTAGAACTGAACTAGAACTGAACTAGAACTGAACTAGAACTGAACTAGAACTGAACTAGAACTGAACTAGAACTGAACTAGAACTGAACTAGAACTGAACTAGAACTGAACTAGAACTGAACTAGAACTGAACTAGAACTGAACTAGAACTGAACTAGAACTGAACTAGAACTGAACTAGAACTGAACTAGAACTGAACTAGAACTGAACTAGAACTGAACTAGAACTGAACTAGAACTGAACTAGAACTGAACTAGAACTGAACTTGAACTTGAACTGAACTAGAACTGAACTATGTACATATGTATGTAGTTTAGTTTATTTTTATCGTAATATCCGAAATGAAACGAGGACATAACAAGTGATATTGTAAAATGTTGAACTTACTAATGAACTATTGAAAAACTTTATTAAATAAAATGGAATATTTCATATATGAGGACACAACTTAAGCTACAATAAACTTATTTTGATAACTAAAATCTAATACCGCTTGATAAACTAAATGAATATAAAAGCGATATTTAAAATCACCAAACAACTTATGAAAAATAATAACAAATTCCAACTTAATTAACTAAATAATATCCACAAAAACATTCGATTTGTTTCAAATTTGCAAATTCATTTTAATAAAGTCTATTCTTTGAGGGCTAAACTTTCCTCAGCTTTATCTCTTAGACTTCTTAAATCAGGATATAGAGCTCCAGCAGCCACATATTGTTCTCCTTTATAGTTTTGTTTATAGTCATCAAATACCGCAATACCGGTATTTTTAACCATTTTCTTGGCAATACCTTTAGGCAGCATATAGTTGACATTACGGCTAACAATGAAAGCATTGCCCAAGGTGTCAAAAGTATCGGCAGCCACATAGCCGGCAGGAGAACCGTATCTAGAATAGAAAATATTAAATAATTTCAATTAAAATGTTAAAAATGTGTTCAAAACCTACTTGTGTTCTATTATTTTAACTGAATTTTCACTTATATTGTTGCCCAATATGGCTGCAGATTTCTCCAGACCATCTACTATGGTACTAAAACCCTCAACGGCACCAGCCGCTAAAGTTAAAGCCCCCTCCATTTTACTATTGGCCTCTTGCTGATCTAGGCCACAAGTCTTTTGTAAAAGATTGGAGCCATGATGTTGTATATGTGGAGCCAAAAATCTACCTATGGCCATTGAGGCAGAACCCACTTTGCCGGCTACCCAACCTGTTACACCCACAGCAGCTGTTGTTACCCCTTTAGCCACTTCCACAGTGGTCTGTAGGCCCTGCGAAACGGGTGGTGGATTTTCAGGAGCCGGTTTCATTTTTGATATTATATAGGGAGTACTTTTCATCATTAATTCACCAGTTTTCTCAGCTCCCTTAACCAAACCTCGAGCTATAAAGTCGGCAGCAGTAACAATATTTCTAGACACCTGTTGACTAGTATCTCTTGTTGGCCGGGTAGCTAAAGGTTGTGGCAATTCTTCAATTTCTCCCGCTAAAACAGCTTCTAAAAGATCTAAAAAGAATTGCTGCAAATCCGCAAATTGTTCTGCATTTAGTTCGGCTGGTGTAGCCAATATAATGCCAAATGCTGAACCCGCTACATCTGCTTCTAAATCAGGAAATATAAATGCTCCAAAATCAGTGCGATAGCAGGAGGTTACCGTAGGTACTAAAGGATATATCCATATCATATCATCTTCATCTTGTGAGGTTGATGGTTTATCTGTTATTTGTCCTTTCATGGAGCACTGGATGAAATACATGCCATTCAAATAACTCCATTTACCTCCAATGGTGCACATAACTAAAGACATTGAGGTTTCACCCTGGAAGTGTGTGGACAAAAAATTAATTTTAAATATTTTAAGGATTTCAATATATTTGAATACTTAGAGATAATACAAATTCATTCTAATGATTCGTCTATTATCTACTTTAGCTATAGGTTGTGGACTATAGACTAGACTATAGACTAGACTATAGACTAGACTATAGACTAGACTATAGACTAGACTATAGACTAGACTATAGACTAGACTATAGACTAGACTATAGACTAGACTATAGACTAGACTATAGACTAGACTATAGACTAGACTATAGACTAGACTATAGACTAGACTATAGACTAGACTATAGACTAGACTATAGACTAGACTATAGAAGACTATAGACTAGACTATAGACTAGACTATAGACTAGACTATAGACTAGACTATAGACTAGACTATAGACTAGACTATAGACTAGACTATAGACTAGACTATAGACTAGACTATAGACTAGACTATAGACTAGACTTATAGACTAGACTAGACTACTATAGACTAGACTATAGACTAGACTATAGACTAGACTATAGACTAGACTATAGACTAGACTATAGACTAGACTATAGACTAGACTATAGACTAGACTATAGACTAGACTATAGACTAGACTATAGACTAGACTATAGACTAGACTATAGACTAGACTATAGACTAGACTATAGACTAGACTATAGACTAGACTATAGACTAGACTATAGACTAGACTATAGACTAGACTATAGACTAGACTATAGACTAGACTATAGACTAGACTAACTATAGACTGACTATAGACTAGACTATAGACTAGACTATAGACTAGACTATAGACTTGACTATAGACTAGACTATAGACTAGACTATAGACTAGACTATAGACTATAGACTAGACTATAGACTAGACTATAGACTAGACTATAGACTAGACTATAGACTAGACTATAGACTAGACTATAGACTAGACTATAGACTAGACTATAGACTAGACTATAGACTAGCTAGACTAGACTATAGACTAGACTATAGACTAGACTATAGACTATAGACTAGACTATAGACTAGACTATAGACTAGACTACAGACTAGACTATAGACTAGACTATAGACTAGACTATAGACTAGACTATAGACTAGACTATAGACTAGACTATAGACTAGACTTTAGACTAGACTACTACACTACAGACTATATAATGGACTACTAGACTACTACTATGTGCTAGGCTATAGACTATACTACAGACTAGGCTATAGACCGGACTATAGACTACATTATATACTACACTATAACTAGTTTATAGTCAAAACTATTAACTGAACTAAAGTCAAAACCATTTCAAATTCAATTTCAAAACTATAGCTTATAACTACATGCATATATGACTTTTGGGAAGCGATTGATTATGACGAACTACTTTAAAAGAAATTCTACAATCAAAGTTACATTTTAAAATTAATTTTTAAAAATAATATTAAAACTGACTGTTATTTCTTGATTGCGCCTTGATTTTTTAAACTTAAGTCCATGCTGATGTTTAATTTGCTTAGAAAACTATTAAAAACAATACAATTATAAAAATTTTTTATATATATGAATATCGAGGATCATGCCAAAAGATTTTGCAAAATATTTTTAGATTATGTCACTTAAAATTCTACTCACCGCCATTGTTTGTACTACACCATTTGGCTGAATTTTATACAATTTAACTTGAGCCTGAAACAGTGTATCATACAATACAGGTATATCTTTATCGGCTATAACTTCCCTCAAACCTTTGGCAATTTGTTTATAGGTTTTAGGCGGACCTCCATTAACATGTTGTATATCGTAATGTGTAGCTGGATTTTCCAATAGGGTCGATTTCTTTTTAGCTTGAGGTTCACATAGAACATCATCGTTTTCTTGAACTTCCCTTGCGTCACTGTCAATAGGTGAATTTTGCTGCTTTAACACTTTCAATCTATAGGTGACTTCTGTTTTGGCTCCTTTCAATTTTTGTATAATCGTACAGGCATCTGCCCATTCGGCTTCAATGCCATTGGTGTTATCGGGCAAGCCGACTGGTATTGAGAAGACTGTATCGATGAATCTTAGACTTTCCTCATAAGCTGCTATGGCTTCTAAGGGTTTGTCTTTTTCCTCAAATTCTATAGCCAGATCAATTTGCTTGAGCGTCAATTTGTTGGCCTGTTTTATGCGCTCATAAGAGCTGAGGAATTCAGCGTCTGTTGTCATGGCTAAGAGCTGTTGCGGAAGGGAAAGAGATGAAAAAAAGGTTGTTATTGAAACTAAAAAAAAAAAACGACTGTGGAGTAGACTACAGTCAAAACTATAGACTGGATTATAGTCAAAACATAAGATTATGGATTGGACCATATTCAAAACTATAGCCGCTACTATATAAACTGTAGACTGGCCTATATACTGGGCTGTAGACTGGACTAAGACTAGACCATAGACTAGAATGTAGACTACACTATAGACTAAACTATAGACTAGACTACAGACTAGACTATAGACTAGACTATAGACTAGACTATAGACTAGACTATAGACTAGACTATAGACTAGACTATAGACTAGACTATAGACTAGACTATAGACTAGACTATAGACTAGACTATAGACTAGACTATAGACTAGACTATAGACTAGACTATAGACTAGACTATAGACTAGACTATAGACTAGACTATAGACTAGACTATAGACTAGACTATAGACTAGATTATAGACTAGACTAGACTATAGACTAGACTATAGACTAGACTATAGACTAGACTATAGACTAGACTATAGACTAGACTATAGACTAGACTATAGACTAGACTATAGACTATAGACTAGACTATAGACTAGACTATAGACTAGACTATAGACTAGACTATAGACTAGACTATAGACTAGACTATAGACTAGACTATAGACTAGGACTATAGACTAGGACTATAGACTAGACTATAGACTAGACTATAGACTAGACTATAGACTAGACTATAGACTAGACTATAGACTAGACTATAGACTAGACTATAGACTAGAACTATAGACTAGACTATAGACTAGACTATAGACCTATACTATAGACTAGACTATAGACCTAGACTATAGACTAGGACTTAGACTAGACTATAGACTAGACTATAGACTAGACTATAGACTAGACTACAGACTAGACTACAACGACTAGACTATAGACTAGACTATAGACTAGACTATAGACTAGATTATAGACTAGACTATAGACTAGACTATAGACTAGACTATAGACTAGACTATAGACTAGACTATAGACTAGACTATAGACTAGACTATAGACTAGACTATAGACTAGACTATAGACTAGACTATAGACTAGACTATAGACTAGACTATAGACTAGACTATAGACTAGACATAGACTAGACTATAGACTAGACTATAGACTAGACTATAGACTAGACAATAGACTAGACTATAGACTAGACAATAGACTAGACTATAGACTAGACTATAGACTAGACAATAGACTAGACTATAGACTAGACAATAGACTAGACAATAGACTAGACTATAGACTAGACAATAGACTAGACTATAGACTAGACTATAGACTAGACAATAGACTAGACTATAGACTATACTATAGATTAGACAATAGACTTGACTATAGACTAGACTATAGACTAGACTATAGACTAGACTATAGACTAGACTATAGACTAGACTATAGACTAGACTATAGACTAGACTATAGACTAGACTATAGACTAGACTATAGACTAGACTATAGACTAGACTATAGACTATAACTAGACTATAGACTAGACTATAGACTGGACTATAGACTGGACTATAGACTAGACTATAGACTGGACTATAGACTGGACTATAGACTGGACTATAGACTAGACTATAGACTAGACTATAGACTAGACTATAGACTAGACTATAGACTAGACTATAGACTAGACTATAGACTAGACTATAGACTAGACTATAGACTAGACTATAGACTAGACTATAGACTAGACTATAGACTAGACTATAGACTAGACTATAGACTAGACTATAGACTAGACTATAGACTAGACTATAGATTAGACTAGACTAGACTATAGACTAGACTATAGACTAGACTATAGACTAGACTATAGACTAGACTATAGACTAGACTATAGACTAGACTATAGACTAGACTATAGACTAGACTATAGACTAGACTATAGACTAGACTATAGACTAGACTATAGACTAGACTATAGACTAGACTATCGACTAGACTATAGACTAAATAAATACGTAGTGTTCATAAAATTCCTCAATGTGAAATGTTATTTACTTGATAACTATAAAAATCTCTTATCAGAGTCTTATAACTCGTTCATAAGAGAAAATATTTTCTCTTTAAAAAAATCATTTTATGTGTAATCATTAATATCCAACAATAATAATAAGTTTTATCTTTAAAAAGAATTCTGCATTAGCAGAATATGTTTATTTAAACATTTTCAATTATTAAAATTGCACTTATTTTTAGCCACAAAATAAATAAATTATTTATTAATCCACACGTACCTTATTTATATTGGTATTAAAATTCATTTTGTTAGATTTAACTGATTTATAAATAATTTGTATGTTTTTTTAAATATATTCAGCAATATTCCCCAAAAACACGAGTAAACATGAAGATTTACAGAATTCAACTAAATTAATTGCGGCATCATCAGCCACAAAACCCTTTTCAAAAATAATTCATTCATGTTTTCTTTTATTTTTTATCTAAACGAAAGAAAAAACTAATAAAATAAACTAAAAACTCTGTTGACTAAATTGAATTTGTGCTAAAATTATCTCAAGAGCAAAGAAGAATCACTGGATGTCGTGGTAGTGTGGTCGACTTGTAGGATACAGTATATGTTTATTAAGAATATAGTACAAAGTTTTGAAATCACAATCTCTCTCTCTAGGTGATACAGTAAATGAGCAAAATTTAGTGATCGGTTTAGGGCCAATCTTTAGGTGAAAGATTAGCGATTAAATTAAAATTAATCCTCGAAAATTGTTTTTGAGTACTCAATTAGTTAATTTAGTTTGCAAGTTTAAGCGCCCAATGGGGGTGGTTTAAACTTAAGCACGAAATGCAAAAGTGTAAACAGCTGATGCAAAAAAATGAATACAATTTTTATAAATATAAACATTAAAATGTTCTATTTATTGATTAGTATAAATTATGGGCACTTCAAAATACATTTTTTTGTTTTTAATTCAAGTTTTCATTAATTTTCATATTAAATTTACAATTGTCTTCTTCTTTTTTATAAAATATGCATTGTTTTGATAACAAACAGTGACGTTTTCTGTTGTTTTGTATGGCAACACTGCGAAGTTTAATCTTGTACTCAAAACATCAAAGGGGATTTACATAAGATTAAATTTATTTTTAGATTAACTAATCTGATTATTAATTGGCATTTGATTACCATCTCAAAAACCCGCTCTTAATGACTAACGCTCTTAATTGAAATCTTTAAAAATGTTTATAAAATTTATTTATTTCTCTTGTATTAAACATTATTTATGATTTCACAAGATTTTTAAACAATTTTATTTCAGTACATTTTTTTATAAAATTAAGATCATTTTGTAAACAAGATTTTTTAATTCCGCTTTGTTTCACATTTTCGTTTAGTTATTTCTTTTTCTTATTTATCATATCTTTAGGTTACAGTTTAATTACTCTTTGCCATCATTTTCCTTTTTTAATTTTTCTTTACACTTGAATTTAAATGTTTAATTTTTCGTTACACTCCAATTCATTTTAATATTTGTATTATTTGTTGTTTTAATTCAATTGATCTGTAATAACAATTTATTTGAATTTGCTCAACTTGTGGACAAACTGCTTTTCTTATAACAGATCAACCTATAACCAATATTAATTTAAAATAAACAAAAACAAATGATGAAATTTTGAATAAAGAAACATTTTGATAAAAGAGCACAAAATCTGTCAAGTAACATTATTAAGAATTGACCTCCATTAAGAATTTTATGATGCATTTTGTATCTATCTATCTATGTATCTATCTATCTATGTATCTATCTATCTATGTATCTATCTATCTATGTATCTATGTATCTATCTATCTATCTATCTATCTATCTATCTATCTATCTATCTATCTATCTATCTATCTATCTATCTATCTATCTATCTATCTATCTATCTATCTATCTATCTATCTATCTATCTATCTATCTATCTATCTATCTATCTATCTATCTATCTATCTATCTATCTATCTATCTATCTATCTATCTATCTATCTATCGATCTATCGATCTATCGATCTATCGATCTATCTATCTATCTATCTATCTATCTATCTATCTATCTATCTATCTATCTATCTATTCTATCTATCTATCTATCTATCTATCTATCTATCTATCTATCTATCTATCTATCTATCTATCTATCTATCTATCTATCTATCTATCTATCTATCTATCTATCTATCTATCTATCTATCTATCTATCTATCTATCTATCTATCTATCTATCTATCTATCTATGTATCTATCTATGTATCTATCTATGTATCTATCTATCTATCTATCTATCTATCTATCTATCTATCTATCTATCTATCTATCTATCTATCTATCTATCTATCTATCTATCTATCTATCTATCTATCTATCTATCTATCTATCTATCTATCTATCTATGTATCTATCTATGTATCTATCTATGTATCTATCTATCTATCTATCTATCTATCTATCTATCTATCTATCTATCTATCTATCTATCTATCTATCTATCTATCTATCTATCTATCTATCTATCTATCTATCTATCTATCTATCTATCTATCTATCTATCTATCAATCAATCTACCTATCTATTAATATATCCATAGTATATTGTTACAAATGATTCCAGAAATCTTGATATACGGATCAAAAAGTAGCGCCACTAACAAATTCATTTACAATAAACATTTTTATTTATGATGTGTATAACGCGAAAGTGATGAAATTTTCGTCTCTCTTATTTTCTCTAAGAAACAAATAAATGCATGATGCTGTTTAAAGTTCACCGGGCGATTGGTTTTAGAAAATCTTCCTCAAAATGACTCACACACTTGTTGTTTACATAGCAAACGTACCATATTTTAAAATTGCACGTTTTGCAGATTTACATTTTGTATGTCAGCTTATTAAAATTTTTACTTAAAGGTGATTTGTCAGATTTAAATTTGCCTAGTATATACTTGAAAGTCCATTTGTTATTGTATGGTTTACTTACCCCTTTTCTTCTTTATATTGCTTAACACTTAATAACAAGAAAATTAACTATTTAATACAATTTTGCAATTGGAATTTTTGCACAATATACAAATCTGTAACTTGCTTTATGTATAACACTTTATTAAATGCCGTGCGTTTTGATTTAATTTAACTTTTTTATTTGATATTTAATCTGTTTTATATTTAATATTATAAAAAAAATTAACTGAAATGCGCTTATCGTTAAGTTGTTCTTTAGTTGCTTTTTATTTATTTAATAATGATTAACTCAATTCTTTTTATAATTTCTCTGTTTTTTATGCAAAACTTCTCACTCTCCGATGAAAACAAATGAAAATATTTTGTTTGTTTATTTTGGTTCCATTTGTCAAATGGTTAGTGGCAGCTGTTTAGTTAGTTACTACTAAAATACATCACTGTTTAAGCAAAAAGACCGTTAATAGCTACAACGATTTGAATTCTAGTAGAGATGTGTATTGTTCTAAAGTCTTTTACAAAGCAACCATTCTGCTTATAAAAATGTTCGTGCTGATTTTTCTCATGGACTTCCGAATGTGTCAGATGGTTTGATTAAACCGCGATATTTGAAATCCTCGACCTTTTTAATTTGTATGATTTATTAAGAACAAAAATTAATTGCAGCTGACTTTTAGCAGCAATTAGCTTATGCTTAAGCAAGCACCATTATCAAGATTCCTTAAATTTGTCACTATTCATTGATTTTATTTTTAGCCATTTGCGTATGTAAATCCTTCCAGCATTCTTTAAGTTTTTTAATAAACACTTCAATTTCACATCTGCTCAAACCTAATGAAGCAGCAGCTGTTAAATAGGCAGGTCCCTCAATATCTTCATGAGTACCCCAATCTGAAATAAGAAATTTTATATTAAAGATAAATTACTTTCAACAAAACTTAAGTAAAACTTACTCTTAAACTTATAACCGTCAATAGTTTTATTCGAACCTGCTGCTACCACCCTAGTACCAGAAATGCCTCTTGTATACAACATAGAGCCTAATTTGGTGGGTTGATCTTCACTTAAATTATCTAAATATAAGGCCATAGATATGGGATTAAATTTGGAATGTTTAAGAGAACATTTATTGTTATCTGCAAAGTTCATTAAGTGAGATTTTAAATCTTCAAAGGTCTGCTTACGTTCCTGGGTTAGGGCTAAATAACCATTTCTACCCAGAGACAGTAAAGTCATGAAAACATCTAAGGTTTGTGAACTAGAAGCACGACCTAAAGAAAGAAATGTCAACAAAATATTTAATTTTTAAAATAACATGTAAATACCAGCATAACTTTTCGCCACATTGTGAACAATTTCCTCATTAAAACCAGCCACTATGGCACCACCCACTGGTACCATTAAATTTTTATCTGTACTTTGTACGAAAAGATCTACACGTCCATGTTTAGCGGCTCCCTCTATATGCGAACAAATGTATTGGGATTGTAAGCCATAAGCATTATTGATCACATGAGGTACGTTATACTTTTGAGCCATTTCCGCCAGCTCATATATTGCATCCATATTTCGTGGAGCAAAACAACTTGTAGTAGACATTATACACAAAATATCTTCGTTAGGCAGTCTATCCAATTGCGCCGTAAATTCTCTTAAATTGGTAAACAAGCCTTCTCTTCCTTCTTTTCTTACGGGATTTATAATAACAGGTGTAAAGCCCGCTGTGGTCATACTTTTAAAACAAGATTTTTGATCTATACGTGACCATAAAATGTATTTTGCTTGAGGTCTTTGTTTTTTGAGACTTAGGAAACATAGTGTCAAAGTCATTCCTGTGGCAAGAGGTACTAGAAATGAACTTTGACAGCTTTTGATGCCCATTGCTCGTAAAAGTTGTAAAAGCATATTATTAGTTAATTGTGACAATATCGAGGAACCTACTGCTTTAGGTTGGGCTTCTAACAAATCTCCAGATCTTCCAATACCATGACCGAAATTATAATGACGACGGGCCACTAAGCCTGGAAATGAGTTTAAGTATTCATTAGAAAGAGTAAAAATTTCTTCAATATCTTAATTTTTTAACAGTTTAACTGAGCTCATTCCTTAAATATTTCCATTTTCTATGTTTAACTTACTGCACGCAATACGCGCCTCCCTTTCGCCTAAACCTGCCTTATGTGGAAAGTTATTACTGTCCAAATTAGCCAACTGTTGCACAGTGTATTCTATGAGATCATCACTCCAGCCTACCTCTGGTAGCGAACGCTTAAATCAAATTAAAATCCCATTAGTTGTGTTGCTGTAATTTGATTGTCATTAACCTACCTTTTCAAACAACTCCTTAACTTTAATTTCTCTAGACTTTTGTGACTCTACTGCCAGTTTTAAATAATTAGCCGGTACTAGCTTTTCATTTATTTCAATTTGTTTAAAATTCATTTTAATTTAGAAAAAATAAAAACAAAATGATTTGTTTACTTATTTGCCGAAAAAAGCGAACAGCTGGCATTTGTTTACATTTAATAGCACAGCGGCGACGTTTTCATTACTAACGGCGTCACTTTTGTAATGATGAGCTTTGTTATACTGGTTTGTTTGCAGTTATTGTGAATGATTGTTTTGCTGTTAAAATAATCACAGATAGATAAATAGATAAAAGATAGAGTAGATAGATCGATAGATAGATAGATAGATAGATAGATAGATAGATAGATAGATAGATACTAGATGAATAGTAGATAGATAGATAGATAGATAGATATAGATAGATAGATAGAGAAGATATAGATAGATAGATAATAGCTAGATATCTATATATCGATCGCTGTAGATCAGCTGATAGCTAGATGCTAGATATATTAGCTAGATAGATCGCTGATCAGTAGCTCGCTCGATAGATAGATGATGATCGATAGATCACTAGATAGACTCGATGCTGATCGATCGATCGATGTAGATAGTAGATGATATCGATCAGATAGATAGATGATAGTAAGAGTAGAAGATAGCTGATAGATAGCTGATCGCTCCTAGTCGATAGATGATAGATCGATCGCTAGATAGATCTGCTCGATCGTAGCTAGGACTAGCTAGCTCTGCTAGATATGATCGCTAGCTCGCCGACTTCATCGCTCCTGAGCTCTACTTAGTTTCCGCCTACATCTGACTACGTGCTGTGCTCTTCATTCCTCCCTCTTTAGGAAGATTTAATTTTTCTCTTAAGCAGCACTTTCTCGTAGTCGATCTTCCTACAATATTTCTTTTCCCACCTATAAAACACACAACCACATCCCCTAAACTGCCATATTTCGGAACTTTCAAAACCTTATTTCACAGATTTCTTCGCTTCAATTAACTCGAATAAGAATAGAGCATTTTAATATAATTCATACAAATATTTTATAAATTTTTTATGATTTTATTGTAGATTTTAAATAGTACAAAACAAAGATCAAAAAATCCTTGCAAAAACAATAGAACATTTCTATAACCTTAAAACTAGAGGAATGTGAATGAGAGTATGTAGTCCAAACAATAAAGATCAAGATCAAGATTATGATCTTGAACACACACATAGGAAATTTAAAAACAAAACAGAGGGTTGATTTCTTTGATGTAAAAATTTTTTTTTTTTTTTTTCATTTTAGTTATTATTTATTGAATCTTTCTTACATAGAAATTTACAATAAGTATTGAAATCTTAACCTAAACTATAACTAACGTCGTTATTGCCACTGCAATTTCAACAAAAGTTCTCGATAATTTGATTATCTGGCAAAATCCAATGTTTCCGTTCTTCTCAGTCGTCTGTGACCCTCAAATGACAGCAACTCCCTGGCAAGGGGATTTGGGTGATCCATTAGTTTCGACAGGTAGGTTAAACAAGAGAGTTTGATCTCCTCGCGTATTATGGGGACATTGAGATCCCTATGAATATTACTATTGCGAATGTACCACGGGGCACCTGTTATTGACCTTAACAGTGCTGACTGCTTTCTTTGTAATTTTTCAACATTTGATGAGGAGGCTGTTCCCCACAGTTGAATGCCGTATAGCCATATCGGTTTTATAACTGTTTTGTACAAAAGCACTTTGTACTCCAAGTCTAGAGCAGACCGTGGTCCAATTAGCCAGTACAATTGAGCTGACTTTAATTTTATTTGTGTAACCTTGGCTTCAATGTGGTGAGTCCATGTTAAGCGGCGATCAAGGTGGATACCAAGATATCTCACATGGCTTTGTTCAGGAATTTTTATATTGTTTATCTGCACGGGAGGACAATTTTCCCTTCTTAAAGTAAATGTAACGTGAGTACATTTTGTAGCATTGACTTTTATTTTCCATTTGTCCAGCCATTTTTCCAATTCGCCGATGTGAAACTGGAGTTGTTCAGAAGCTATTGAAGGGTTTGCATGCATGCTTACAAAAGCGGTATCATCCGCAAATGTAGATGTGTGAGTCAGTGCGCTCGTTGGCATATCTGCAGTATATAAAATATATAGGAGCGGACCTAGAATACTCCCCTGGGGTACTCCAGCAGATATTTTTCGACGTGAAGAGATCACATCTTTAGATCTGATTTGAAAAGATCTTTCATATATGTAATTTTTAAGCAGTTTGTGAACATTCGCAGGTAGTAATGTGATAATTTTGTGTATTAGTCCATCGTGCCAGACTTTATCAAAAGCTTGAGAAATATCTATGAATAATGCAGAGCAATATTGCTTGCTCTCGAAGGCCTTTCGAATAAGAGTTGTTATTCGATGTACCTGTTCGATAGTGCTGTGCTTTCTTCTGAAACCAAACTGATGGCCAGGAATAATGCAATTATCGTTAAAGTGTACTAAAAGGCTTTCAAGCAATAACTTTTCAAAAAGTTTTGAGAATAAAGACAACAGGCTAATGGGACGGTATGATGTCACTTGAGTGACATCTTTCCCCGGTTTTGGTATCATAACAATCTCGGATACTTTCCATGAGTTAGGGAAGTATCCAATACGTAGCATCGAGTTAAAGATGAACAAAATAATTCTCAGTGCTGAATTGGGCAGGTTACTTATCATCGTGGTAGTAATTTTATCTATACCAGGTGATTTTCCTGCCTTTAGACCTTTGATTGTCATCTTCACGGTAGAGAACCGGAATTTTATTGGGTGTGGAACCACATTATTTATAATGTTAGCACTAATAGAAGAATCTGTATCATTTTGAGTAAACACATTCTCCAAGTGATTGGCGAATGCTTCAATTTTTTCTGACGTATTTCTTGCCCATTGACCATTCTGAAGGCGTATAGGTGACTCATATGCAATAGGGCACTGCATATTTTTAACAGCTTTCCAGAGACTATATTCTGTTTTCTTAG